CATCCTTTCGTTTTTCTATGATGATTGTGATAAGATTCCCTCTTCCGGATTTTTTTTTTCTTTTCTATTTCCAAACTAATTTTAAAGTTTAAAATTTTCTCTCCTACTAATAATTTTTTTTAATACCTACTTTTATTAAAATTTTATTTGAATTTTTGGAAAAAATGAAAGTAATAATAATAAAATTTATAGTGAAGCAAGTCAAATTTGAGGGTATATTTGGTAGCTTGTTTTTTTTCTAGGTTTTGATGTTTGGATGTTAGCTTACTTTTGTTAATTTTTTTTATTTACTTACTTTCCGTTTCTAGCTTCATCATTCTACTTAATGTCTAATTCAATGAAACTAACATTAATTTACAATTTAAATATTTTAATTTTACTTTTCAAATCCACTGCATTTTGGCAGCATAATTTTTAAAATTTTTTTTTTTAATGTTTTTTACCTGAATAAAAATCGAAAATTTACACCCAAATTTAACCATAAAAACTCCCCAACGAAACAAATTACCAAAAATGAAAACCTGCCAAAGTAGCCTAAATTTTTATTTTTATTTTTCTCTTAAAAAAAATGAATTTGAATTTTGGTTGAATAAAAATATGTGGTGTAACACTATTTCTCTATATTCCTTTAATAGATTCTCACTTTAATACGTCAAAACAAAAACTTTTGGCTTTTAAATTAATAATAATTTATTTTTATTGATTTGGAGATTAAGTTGATATTGATCATGGGGAGTGAAGTAAGATAATTAACCGCTTCAATTATACATCGATTTGATATTGATTACGTGGAAATTTAAAATAAAATAAAAAATTTAAAGAACCAAACTACATGAGAAGCTTCATCACTAATTAATTAATTAATTAAATAATTATATGTAGTACACAAAAGCTTGTAAAGTTAACAAAAGGACAAGGGTGAACTGAAATGGAGGAGCAAGGGAAAACAAGATATTCCTTTTTTTAATTTTGATTATTATTGTTTAAAATGAAATATGTTATTTAAAAATGTGTGTGCTCTGGTGCAGGTGGCTTTCTAGGTGTATCCGAGTCAGCCCCACGTATTCATTTGCGTGTTTGAACACACCCACTCATTTTAAATGGAAACCGACGTGAGAATCCATCACTCAAATATACATCACTATTATTTTGTTTATAAATAACAAAACACAAAATACAAAAATTTATTAGATTTTGATGGATAATAGAATGGATGGGATAAAAATATAGAGGCAACGTGGCAAGATATGAGTGGGAAGAGGAAGGATGGTATTATTCCTACGTCAAATTTAACAATAATTTTGAAAAATAAATAAGGAGGGTAAAAAGAAAGAAAAGAAAGTGGCGTGTGATAAATGAGAGGCTGGAAGGGGGTGGGGGAAGGCACATTATTGGCACATACATTGGCACAGACATTGGCACAGACATTGGCACATACATTGGCACAGACATTGGCACAGACATTGGCACATACATTGGCACATACATTGGCACAGACATTGGCACATACATGGGGTGGGGAGCAGCATGCCATTCACCCATTAGTCTCTGCTCACGCTATTCTTTTCCACAACAGATTCACGTGTCACACCCACAACTCGCCTTTTCTTTTCCGCCTTTTTCTTTTCTTCTTTTCTTTCCTTTTCCAATAATTTCATATTTATGATTAACCATCATTTTTAATTTTGGAATCAATTGTTAAATAATAGTGTATACAAAAAGAAAGAAAGAAAATGATTGATTCCGAAAGGCGTTGATGGACCGGTCCGATCCGAACAATTCCAATCTTTTGTTGTGGTCCAATAATCAACTACATATCCGAATCTCAAATCAGGCCCACTTTGATTGGGATTTGGTGCACCCACTTCCACTTCCACTTCCAACAAATTTTCCTTGCTTCCAGGCCCACTTTGATTGGGCTGGATACTTCAAAACTCCACTATCAGGCCCACTTTGATTGGGCTGGATACTTCAAAACTCCACTATCAGGCCCACTTTGATTGGGCTGGATACTTCAAAACTCCACTATCAGGCCCACTTTGATTGGGCTGGATACTTCAAAACTCCACTATCAGGCCCACTTTGATTGGGCTGGATACTTCAAAACTCCACTATCAGGCCCACTTTGATTGGGCTGGATACTTCAAAACTCCACTATCAGGCCCACTTTGATTGGGCTGGATACTTCAAAACTCCACTATCAGGCCCACTTTGATTGGGCTGGATACTTCAAAACTCCACTATCAGGCCCACTTTGATTGGGCTGGATACTTCAAAACTCCACTATCAGGCCCACTTTGATTGGGCTGGATACTTCAAAACTCCACTATCAGGCCCACTTTGATTGGGCTGGATACTTCAAAACTCCACTATCAGGCCCACTTTGATTGGGCTGGATACTTCAAAACTCCACTATCAGGCCCACTTTGATTGGGCTGGATACTTCAAAACTCCACTATCAGGCCCACTTTGATTGGGCTGGATACTTCAAAACTCCACTATCAGGCCCACTTTGATTGGGCTGGATACTTCAAAACTCCACTATCAGGCCCACTTTGATTGGGCTGGATACTTCAAAACTCCACTATCAGGCCCACTTTGATTGGGCTGGATACTTCAAAACTCCACTATCAGGCCCACTTTGATTGGGCTGGATACTTCAAAACTCCACTATCAGGCCCACTTTGATTGGGCTGGATACTTCAAAACTCCACTATCAGGCCCACTTTGATTGGGCTGGATACTTCAAAACTCCACTATCAGGCCCACTTTGATTGGGCTTTGTGGGCTTCTTTTCTTCAGGAATCCAAAAGAGCAAATAAAAAAGTTTTGGACAATTATGGAGGTCGATGGAATTCGCATTTGGTCTCGATCAATATGCACCACAAATTTGGAATGGATAGATTATGGATGGAAGAAGTTTCCAATATTATGTTCACATAAATTACTAAATATTACAATCATTTTTCTTTTCTACAAATTATTTATGGAACAAAACAAACAAAATCAGACCAATCTTGCAGTGAATGAAACCACTCCTCCTCAGAACTCCCCACCTGCATGTTACCAATATCACACTCTATAATCAAAACCAATGGATTTTTTTTTCTTTTCAAACATATATTTCCATTTTAAATTCAAATTAACATTCAAATCTGGATGATGAGGACCAAAGATTTACCTTCATTTGATCAACCAAAACACACTGCAAATATGAAGCAATCTTCAATCTTCGTCCTCTTCGCTTCGCCTTCTCTTTCCTTCCACTGCGCAATTCTTACTGCTATTTTTAGGCCTACAAATCCCGTATCATCTCGATTCCTGAGAGTTGTCTTTATCAGGAGCTTGGTCCTGCTCCAATGGCGCCGCAGAGGGGTCCCGACTCTGCCCTATTTGGTGATAGATTTGGGAATACGAAGGCGGGTTCAACATCCCTCTTACATTATTCCCCTCCTGCGAAAGCCCTAGCTCCAGTCCCGGTATTTGCTGCTGCGGCTGCTGATTCCCGATTATCGTCGGGAAATTCACGGATCCCAAATTCATCCCCTGAAATTCGAATCCATGGAACCCGAATTTGGGCATAATCGAACCCGGATTCTCGCTGACGAACCCCGGCCCGATTCCGCCTAGGGACGGCCAGAATCCGGGCGTACCCATGTGAGATCTGTTCAAATTGGCCCCCATCATCGCCCAATTCAGTCTTGGGACGGCGTCAATTTTGGGGGTCAGGGTGGCGGACACAGAGACGGAGGTGTCGGGGTCCGAGAGGGAGACGCCGGCCGCATGGAGGGCAGAGGCAGGGATGGTACCGGAGCCAGTGGCGGCGATGATGGAGGGCTCAGCTTGCTGGAGGAGCCACTGGATGGTCTCGCCGTCGGTCTTATGGCCTAATTCGCGGGTCAATTGGAAGACGCGGGCGGCGCAGAGGGCAGGCATGCGGATCCTACGGCCACGGCCATCCACTTTCTTGTGGCGGTCTTTATTGGAAGTACGCTTAGGAGCCAATTGTTGTTGGTGCTTCTTGTTTTGATCTTTGTTTGGGTTTGCAATTATGATATCCGAGGATGGTGGTGTTGGAGCGGGTGATGATGGTGGTGGTGGCGCTGCTGCTGCTGGTGATGGCTTCTTGTTGTTGTGCTCTGCCATGTCTGCTAATGGGTGTGGGGATGGGTGGAGGACCCAACAAAGGTGGGTTCCTCTGTGTGGACTAATGGGGTTTATGAGAGGATCAGATTTTGGGAGCAGAGAGAGAGAGAGAGAGAGAGAGAGAGAGAGAGAGATAAAAGAAGAAGAAAAAAAGAAAAGAAAAGAAAAGAAAAGAAAAGATGGGTCCTCCTCCATGATTGAGTTCTCGTTGTTGTTGGAACCTTACACTTTGGGTCAGCTCACCCTTTTAGTCTTCCCCTTGGCTGCCTCACCCCTCTAATTTGGATTTGGATTTGGATTTTCCCCCTTACTCTTTTACTTTTTATTGATTGCCTAAATTCCATGTCCCCGTTATAATTTGGAATCAATCATTCAATTATGATTTTAACCAAATTCCAAATTCCAAATTGTTTGGTAATTTTTGAAAGCTTTACTCATTCTGTGCCACTAATTAATGCTGCTGTTGATTGAATTAGTGGGGGTTTCTTCCTATCCGATGCAATGTTTTATTATGTACATAATTACTTGAAGACGAGGAGTGAGGAGGGTGTGGGATTCAACGTTACAGTCAACTCAACCAAAGGGTAAGCAATGACGGGGGACTTTTCTTTGTAGTAACTCTTATTAACCCTCTTCACACCTACATGGAAACTATTTCAAATTAGCTTTTTATTTTTAGTAAAAAAAAAACAGAGTGAAACCATACGTTTGTATGACGGTTATTATTATTATTATTGTTATTTCTGGTTTCATCCTAACCTAATTATTTTTAGAGCAATTGTTGGGATGCCTTTTCAATGCCACAAGGAAAGCTACAACCAATCCAACATAATTTGTTGAATTTCAAGAGATCGGTATGTGGCTCTACTATTACTTATATTGTTACTGTTGTACGTGAGAATGGTATATGAGAATGCTAACACAACTACATAGCCCTTTGTTTGTTTGATAAATAAAATGAATTACATGATAGAGCAAGAAAACACATTATCATCACTGAAGGTTTGATTAGGGTAAATATGATGCAAAGAGTACTGAGGAGGATATTTAAACGCCAAGTTTTCTTTCTCTTGCTTTCCATCCTGGTTGTTGAGGTTGTTGTTGTTGCCGCCGCCGCCGCCGCCCGGTTTGTTTGCTGATTTTTCTTCTTTCTCTTGCTTCTTATTCACCACCTCTACGTTCTTCTTCATTTTCTTTTTAATGGCTTCCACCAGCTTGGGAGGATCCACTATTCCCTTCACCCTCACTTTCGAACTCTCTCTATCTGCTTCCACTGCCATCACTCCTGCATTCATCACTCATACATTCTAATTAGCATCACCAATCAAACAAGAACAAAATAAAAAAGAAAGAAAGCAATCTCACCCTCCATTCTTCCAACGCGCTGCTTGATGTCATTTACACAGCCTTCACAGTGCATCCCCATTTTGAGCTCCACGGTCTTCACCTGTATTTTGAACCCCAAAACCACCAAAACCAAATAGAATGAGATGAGATGAGAGATTATATGAAGAAGTAAAAAAGAGGCGAGGGTTTCACGTACCTCTTCCTTCTTAGGAGGGTCAGCCTTGGTTTGGTTGGGGGTTTCGGGGAGGGGCTTAGGAGAAATAAGTTGGGCATTTTTGGAGTACTTTCTCCGAATCTGTTCCAATATCTTGTTAGGCTTCAGGTCCTTTCCCTTTATTACCACTTTTGCATTCCCCACATCCGCCGTCACTTCCTCCACTCCTACAATTCATTCCCCCAGAATACTCTTTTTTATTTTCTCTTAAACAGATTAATAATTACTAATAACTTAATTACTTACCCTCACAACCTCTCAAGTATTTAGACACCTTGGTTTTGCAGGACTCACAGTGCATGTAAACTTTCAGCACCACTTCTGTTATCTTTTTTCCCTCTTTCTTCTCTTCTTCTTGCTTTTTGTTTCCATTTACATTCTCACCCTTCAAAATTTCCTTCATTTATCAATTACAAAATATTAAATAAAATAAACAAAAAGCAAACCTTTCTTTTTCTTTCGTACCTTTCCCATCTCTTTCAACTCACTCACTCACTGATTGATTGAATTCCAGTGTTGAAAGTACAAGCTTGATGAGACCCTAATCTTACTGCCCTTTATATATATTTATTTCAACATTGTAACGTAACACTTCATTTTTTACGGAATTAATTTTATTTCTATACTCACTGCTTCCTTACATGCATATTTATTCATTATTTTCCTCTAAACTTGTAATACTTAATGGACAAATTGACAGGTTAGGTAATAATTTTATTATTAATTTTTACCGTATGTTTAATGTTGCACTTTTTTTTTTTCTTTCGGTTTTACAAAATCAGGGTTATAAGGTAAAGTAGTTATTACATTTATTTAAATAATTTAATTGCTGATACTTGTATTTATTTTACCATCTGGATATCAGATTTTGCAAGCTTCTGTTTCCCCTTTTCTCTAAACATTTTATAACTTCAATTAATTAGAATAGATTAATTGTAAGAAAAATGTGAGCTAAAATCTAACTCGGGGATAAAAATGGAAGTTAAGACAATAAATAAATAAATAATCAATACAAATCATGTTTTTTCTTTTTCTTTTTTTAAAAAGCACCTTTAAACAAAATTATGAGATCTTTCTATAAAAAAAGAAAAGAAATTAAACAGCTCATTAATGTCAATTAATACTCTTTTATTTTAACCATTAAAAGATTTCAACACAGGGCTCTCTTTTATTTTAACCATTAAAAACTCCCGTTACTCGTATCAGCTCAGGGCTCTCTTTTTCAAATCCAAACTATTTCAACACATGTGCATTTCTCATTTTACTCCAAATCTACTTTATTAATCACCATACCTTTCATCTTTTGGACACATTTCTTGATTTGGTATGTACAGCCTTTCATCTTTTGGACACATTTCTTGATTTGGTATGTACAGCCTTTCATCTTTTGGACACATTTCTTGATTTGGTGAACTGTATATCGTAGCACCACACTAACCTCCTACAATAATAAATTGTTTCTAAAATATTAAAAAGGAGAATAAAAGGCTTCAAATATATTTTTAGAATTTAACCTCTGCTTCAAACTCTTGTTCAACGGGTTTTCTGTTTTTGCGTGCAAAGTTCATTTTCTTCAAAAACCCCATTTTTCCGGTCTTCTTGCTTTCTCTTCACAATAACATCATATCTCTCTGTTCTTTTCCTAATTTCATTTAAATACTAATCCTAATCCATCCACGTAATTAACCCTCCAAATATAAAATATCATCCACATTTAAGTTTTCATTAAAAACCAAAAACAAGCATGCACTGTTCTTTCACTCTTCCCAATCCAAGTAAAAGCTAGATTTAAAGAAAAGAACATCATCATTTTATTCGCATTCATTCAATATTTAATCCAAATATATATGTGATTCGCATTCATTCAATATTTAATCCAAATATATATGTTTTAAACAATTTCAATATAGAGTAAGATTGAATGTTATTCAAACGTAGGATACACGTACCTCAACACAAGTGTATTCCCCTATGTGGTAAATGTTAGAGGAGTAGAAGATGACACGTTCCATGCACAGCCCTGACACTTATACAACACCTGTCATCCAACTCACCCATTGCGCACACCTTTCTTGCTCTTCATTCCCCACGTGGCAACCAACTCACCGCTATTTCTCTCTCCTCCTTCTAACTCGGACCCACATCCTTCTGCTTCTTGACCCCTTCCTCTTTGCCTCTCTTCATAATACCGCTCTCTCTCTCTCAAATCAATCTGATACTCTGTTCTTTCATCTTCTTACTCCAAAGTAAATCGTAGTGGAAAAATCTAGAATTGAATCTCTGATGTCGGGTGTAACTCTGGCGGTGGCTCCACGAACAGACCCAAATGACGCGGTGGCGCCGCAGCACAAGCCGCTACGGCGGCAACAACAAGAGCAGAACTCGGTTGTTGGAGGGGTGATGGGATCTCTCCGCGTCATTGAACTCCAACTTGTTGCTTTCATAATGGTGTTCTCTGCGAGCGGGCTTGTCCCCATTCTCGACCTGATTTTCCCTGCCTTCACCTCCGCCTACCTCCTCTTGCTGGCACGGTTTGCATTCCCGTCTCACGGTCATGCGTCGGGCGCGTCGCAGGAGATCTTTCAGGCAATGTTAAATGTTTAGTACGCCCAAGAAATTGGGAGTGTAGTTGGATTGATTTGACTGATTGACGTTTAAAACTGCGGTTTGTTGTTACAGGGGAGCAAGTTGTTTAGAATGTACGTGGTGGTGGGGACCACGATAGGGCTGTTCCTGCCACTGGCATATGTATTGGGTGGGTTTGCGAGAAGTGACGAGCATGCGGTTCGGTCGGCGACTCCGCATTTGTTTTTGTTGTCGTTTCAGATTCTGACGGAGAATGTGATAAGTGGGTTGTCGTTGTTCTCGCCGCCGGTGAGAGCATTGGTGCCGGTTCTGTACACGGTGAGGAGGATTTTCGTGATCATGGATTGGATGAAGGATGTTTGGCTCAACAAAACCTTGCCGGCCAATGCACCCATCAACGTATTTTTCTTCTCCTCCTCCTCCTCTGTTCCTACATTATTAATTACAATGGGTTGATTTAGTTTTATAAAAATGGCAGGACATAGCATGGTTTTGGTTCGGAAGGACATTAGCGGTGGCTAATTTTGCGTATTTCTGCATAAATCTATTTGGATTTTTAATCCCAAGATTCATTCCAAGGGCATTCCAAAGGTATTTTAAGGACCGAGATGACGAGACTCATGCCAAAATCCAAGAAGATAACCTCTCTTCCGCTCCCCCTAAATCTCACCCCTCCGATAAGAAGACCGATTGATTTTCTTTTCCCCCCCGCCCCCCCTCTAATTTTCATGTTTTTACTACAATGTCCTTTTTATGGTCTGCTTTTGCTCTATAATTTTTTATGGTCTCCTTTTTTTCGAATTTATATTAGAGCAATTAATTTTCGATATATATATATACATACAGACAAATTATCTGGATTCCACTGCTCCGTACTTACCCGTCTCTTCATATATTTCAAAATTGTTAAATGGTTAGCCCTTCAATTAGTATGTTAACATCCAATGAAAATTGAGAACATGAATTAGGGTTTTTGGTATATAAGACCACCTCCAAAACTATAAATTAGGCTTTTAAATTCAGTAGGTTCCTTGCAGATACAATTTTAAAAATTGGAAGCACCTTATTTAACTAAAAAAGAGGGTCCTCAGATTCGGACGCGTGGTCTGGTGATTTTGGTCGGTTGTTCTTATCCAGAAGCGGTCCAAAAGACTATTATGCCCCTAAAAACACAGTTATTGATTTGTACGGACCTCTTTGTCGTGGGCTCACTTTTGTATAATATTAAAATGTCGTTAAATGTGGAAAGGTGGGGCCCGGTGAATACGAATATGTGGCGTTGGGTACCAAATTTGTGTGGCTCCACCTCACGCGCTTAAATCGGTTCCACTTTTGTGATTGCATTTCAATTTTGCTGTTTACTTATTTTTAGAAAAATATCTATATATATATTATGAAAATTCAAGATAAATTAGCAAATTTTTAATTGTTCCCACATTCATATCCACTGCGTATATAATGATTATAACATTATTGGGCTCTAGCTAAATCGTCTAAATGCTCTCATATAGCAATAGGATCACGTCTAAATGCTCTCATATAGCAATATGATCACAACATCCGGTATCACAATTCACTAAAGCATTACGTGGGCTCCAATCCACCATTAATGATAAGCTACCAAATCCTTAACCACCTCCACGTAGGTACACAATCATGTCATTTTATATTACAATAACTAAAATACCAGGTAGGTCAGGGATGACCTACCAAACCTCTAATCCTACTCAGCTAGACACACAATCATTTTACAAAATTTCAATCTCTCCTTAATCCTCCTCAATCAGTTTAAAACACCAAAAAAACCAGCTGTCCTAAAAAAATTTAAAAATGATTCCAATTTTGTCCCAAACTAGGAAAAATTCGATCCTTACTTTGTGCGTGACATGCTATTGAAAATGTTATTTTATATATATATATATATATATATATATATAATGAAATTGAAATATAAACATATAAATGGGAGTGAAAATTACAGGGTTTGAAGAACAAATTCTTCAAAAAAGTAATGACTGAAATTATTTCTTTCAAACTCCCTATCTCACGCGTGTTTGAAATAGTCAAATTTTGGGTCAATTCTTTTGAGAATTAATTCCATAAGTAAAGAAAAATAGGTTGATCATTAAGCCCTTAATACTTTTAAAAAATATTTATCATCCTCCATATATTTTGATTAAATTGTATATTTTAATTAATTTTTTTAGTGGATACGTCTGCTCCTAGTTGTCCTAATTGATGAAGAATAGCGTATTTTAAATCACAATTTAGTCCTACAAATACCCAAAAGTAGTTTTACGATAGCTCAACATCCCAATATACTATTTTTTTTTTATTGTTCTATTGTTTTTGCAATTCTCTGATTGTTTATATAATCGAATAGTTCTTTTATTTATTCATTTAAATAATTTGGTATTTTATTAAATAAGCTACCATTCATTGATTTATTGGAATAGAAAGTTTGTAAGCTATTTATTACATTTTCAGGAATGTTAAATGAATATGAATATACTAAAACCCAATTTAATCTCTCAATTTTTGCACTATGTATATGTATAAAACTTAAAACTGACGAGACTGAAGGTATTAGGCGACACAAGAAATATATATATTGTAAAAGAGAGAGATCATGATTTTTTTTCTTTTTAATTAATTATTTAAATTGAATTACAATCTCCAAGGACTCTGAAGTAATAATATTTTTTAAAAACAAAGTGGCACACTGAAATTTGGTTTAGTTTATTATTCAAATCCCAATTTGTTAAACACGCGCTCTCTCAGCGCGTAAGTTACAGGAAAGTTGGTCACAATGTGGGCAAATTATAAGCTTGATATTAGAATTTATAAATGGGCAGTGGCCTCTACATTTAACCAAATACTGTCATGGTCTAAGATTTTCAAAATGCTTTTATTATTCTGCTTTTTAACTTTTATTCATTTTAATTTACTTTTAAAAAGTAAAGCATATTTATCCAAATTTTAACACAAGCTTTTGCTATATATGATACAAACCTTTCAATGCAATTCTTTATCCAATTTTAGTGAATAATACATCATGTCAACTATGTTTACCAAATTTATTAAGTGTTTTATTAGCTTTAAATAAAATTATCATCTTATTTTATTAGCTTTAAAAAAAAAAAAAAACAAATTTGAGAGTTGAAATGAAAGTGTGGAAATATTTATTGTATGGTTCAATCTCAAAATTGCAATAAATGGAAGGATAAAAGAGGAAAAAAGAAAAACCAAATCTGTAAATTAACTTAATTATTTCCAATTAAATTAAAAAAATAAAAAATAAAAACCCTTTTCTCTCTCCTCTTCTATCTCTAACTAAAGCCCACCATTGTGAAGAAGCTTAAAACGCTAAAGCCACAAATACGAATACCCATTTCGTTATCGTCCAAGAACCCTCCACCCAAGAAAGAAAGAAAAGCAGCCTCCATGAAAATAAAGAACAAAGGCAAAGTCCATCCATCTCCATCTTCTTCTTCTTCTTCTTCTTCTTCCGATGGGGACTTTTTTGAGGTCTTCAACTATCTTCCAGTCGCGATGTTGGCTCTCATCTCTCTTCTGACCGTTGACGATCGAGAGGTTTTGGCCTTCATGATGAGGAGATCCATGGAAACCTCATCGACCTCGTCTTTCGTTTCTGGAAATAAATTTTCCAAGAGAGCTCCAAAGAAATCCACGGCTCCACGCGCCAGTTCTGGTAGCGCGTGTGTTCACTCGCCCCCCTCTTTTACTTGCTTTGATTGTTACATGAGTTACTGGGACCGGTGGAACTCGTCGCCGAACGGGGAGCTGATTCATCAGGCCATTGAGGCTTTTGAAGAGCAATTGGCTAACGGGGAAAAATCCAGCAAGAACGTCAAAGGGAAGAAGAGGGAAAAAATCGGCCGTCAGTCGTCGGACAAGCCTGTGAATGTTGTTGCCCCGCCACTGCCGCCGTTGCCGGGAGTTCTTCCTCTGCCGATTGATGAGGGGTCTTCTGCGGCTCCGACGACGTCTGGGAGTGACGATGTGGAAGCAGCGGAGGGAAAGGGAGAGCCATCGCGGACTGAGGATGAGACGGCGGTGATGATTGTTCCGTCGCCGCCACCGAGCAACCGCAAGGGTTTGGCCCGGAAGGTATGGCCGGACGTATTAGGGTTATTCAATTCTCGTTTATGGAGTCTTTGGGGTCCACATTAGAAATTCAGCAAATAAAAAAGAGAGGATATTTCGATATTTTTCCACTTTTTTTTATTAGTTTTTTTTTTGGACCCAAGATGAGAGTAAATTCAAAAGCAACAAAAAGAAAAAAAAAAAGAAAAAAAAAAGAGGAGTAGATGTTATTTCGCAATGGAATATATAGAGTATCGTCCCATCTTTGATAAACTTTTGAGAAATATGCCTCTTTTTTATTTTTTGATAATTATTGATGTCGAATGTTTTGTTTTGGATTACCCCTTGTGTTTGGCTGCTCACAAAATGAGAAGGAAAGTGGAAAGCAAAATGCATTCAACTTATAATATAGTGGAGAAAAGTTTAAGATGTGAGATTTGAACTAACAACTTGTTGTTAAGAGGCATTGTGGGAACCAGTTTCTAAGTTAAGGATGAACTGATAGTGGAGAAAAGAAACAGAAAATCAAACTAATGAGCTTTTCTTCAATCAAGCTTTTATCCGGAAAATGTTTAATAGGAAGAAACAGAAAAAAGACGTAAAATTAAAGTTTGAAAGGAGTAGAATTTATGAGTTCATTAATAGTGTTATATACGGAATGTTACATTTAAGGTAGTGTTTTTTTTTTCTTCTAGAAAAAGGTCTGTCCAGTCGCATTGCGCCACATGTTGCACAATGTTTATAAAACCTAGGTAGGCATTTCAAAATGAAAGGAAAAGAGTAGATCTCTGTTTTTGCAGCCTTCTCCTCATCGATCGTACTTGTAAATCAGCGTGTAATCTAATCTAAATTACTTGTAACTTGGATTTTGATGTAACACTATGCCCTTCCTGCTGCTTCTTCAGCTTGAGAATGGTGTTGTATGCCGCATCCTTTTTGCGATCGCCATCTTTCAAGCGTTTCTGTAAACAACTTATGTCCTTTTCTACCTTCTCTACCTTTTTCTTTAGCTTCTTCATTTTGGCATTTACTTTTATCTGATTTTCCGCTGCCTCATCCCAATCCTTGCTCAGAGCCTGCAACTGTATTCATTTCCACAGCTATTAATTACAACATATCCTACTTTAATAATTTCCCCTACCTTTTCTTTCTGCCTCTTACTTACTTCTACTCGAATGGATTCTTGTGAACCCAAGGACTTCCACAATTTTCCGTTCACAACACCATCGCCAATACCTTTCTCCCTGCCAATCTTATGTTGTTGTACGTCTTTCAGAATGGCTTTATCACGACCAACATCGTCTCTGGATTTCTCACAATCCCAATAGTTGTTGCGCATTTGCTCTTTTAGGCATTCGATCTGTTGCATAAACCCAAAAATTTAAACGGATATGATAACTCAATCACAGAATTTGACCAAAACTAGAACTAAATGTTCACGATTAATGCTTAAATATTGAATATTACAGGAGCCTGGAGTTCTTCCACTGTCATCCCACCATCCTTCCCTTGTATTGCATTCATCTCCCTTAATAGCTTCCTCTCATCGGCCATGTTTTTACAGTCATGTCCCATCAAGAAACACAGTTTCTGCTCACAAATCAGTAAATATACATGTACATGCCATAATTAATATGAACAACAACAAGAAACTCCAACAAGTCTCACAATGAAGAACACACTAAGTTTAGAGTTCAATAGGCCATACTTGCTTATCCACTTCCCCTCCCGACAAGCACGACTTATTCGATTTATCCTTATATGCATTGTTTGCAAAACTCAGTTTGTCTAGTGATAGATGCAGCACAGCCAATCTGTCTCTTTCCCAATCTGGAGTGAGTCCATAGTTATCATAGTAATTTATCGCGCTCAATTTCGCCCTCACCTCATCGCTATCCATCTACAAACCAAAACTTATTAACATTAATCATCATCACCTAATCAAGCAAAACTGACTTAACCACTCAAACAAAATTCTAACTCTCCATTTATTGAAGTTAACAAGATTAAAATGTTGAACAAAGAAGGACTTGGGTTTCTTTTCACATACCACTCTTTTCCTTATCTTCTGGGCTAACAGAACTTGATCTTCATTTATCCTTTCAATAGTTTCTTCAGCCTTCTTGATCATGGCATTTATATTCGGGCTCTCAACTGACAAGACTTCGTCAAAGTAAGATTGTCGAACTCGAACAGGTATTTCATCGACCACTTGGGGTTCATCATCAGAACAATCCACTACCGCCCCATCGCAAGCAGCTTCCGGTCCATCCTCCACCACATCCTTCTCTCTATCATCGATTTGTCCGCCGTCCATGGCGCTGTTCCAGTACAAGAAAGCCTTCCAACAAAGCAAAAAACCCATTCAAAAACACTAAAAGAAATTGCACCCAGTCCTAAACTTAGGATCAGATTAGTAGTACTTCGTAACTATAGAAAATTCAAATTACAGAAGAAAAACGGAGAAGAAATTTCATACCTTGAAATCAAAACAATTGGTGCTTCAAATGGTTGCTGTGGAAGGGAGAAGACGGTAGCCTTAATAATGGGATTATATGAAACCATCCTCCTTTTGACTGTATGAAGTTAATCTGATAGTTCCGTCCTAAGCTATTGTTCCTCACGCCAAGTTTGTATGTAAAATATTTGTGAATTGAATGAGTCAACTGTTTGTGGGTTTACAATGGACATGGATACTTGGTCATGGACAATGGTCAACGGTCAACATCAGCTATCTAAATTTAGTTTCTAAACTTCATAATTTTTTATGATTCACAGATCTTCGTCATTGAAGGTTTAAGTTCCTTTAAATATGGGATTCAAATGAACCAGAGGAAGTTCAAGCATGTTTACAGACAACAAAAAAACACACTGCATTTCAGGTTTAAGAGGAAAGAAGTTCAAAAGGATCCTCAGCATCTTTCATCAACCATTTCAATCTAGTTTTAGAAAGCGATTCCGGAATAACAAGTTTACGACTATCCTCAACCAATTCTAATTTCTGGTTGCCAATCATCCTCCCATCCATGCAAAGCTCTCGATTACATAGGGACGGCACGACTCTCTTTTTGTAATCCTTTCTGAACTCCGGCCAGTTATTCCACATCTGCATAAACTTTTCAACCTGACGGGGGGG